GTCGATCGGCATTAACGTGTTGGATTAAGCTTACGTATACACGAGTGGGCCCAACATCTGTTGGCAACATTTTTTGGGGTCAACAGAAACTATTTTTCTATTGGAACAAAGAGCATGCATACTAGTACTTCAAGTTTCTCTTTGATTAAATGATACTCTACCTCCACGTGCTTGGTTTTACCATGTTGCACCTATTTATTGCAGTCATATCATCACACTATAGTCTCATAGGTCTTCAATAGGAACTTTCAGTTCATCAAGAAGTCTTATAGCCATAGAAGTTCACAAATTCCATTTGCTACAGCTCAAAGCTCTACTTCTGCACTGGTTGTGTATGTACTTCATATAGAGTGGAATACAGATTTACTAGAAAAATAGGTCAATGCTGGAGCGGAGTAACGACATTGGTCTCTCGAGATTTAATTTATTGTTTGATTGTCAGGGACGCTGAATAGGTTGGGTGCGGGGCAACACCCTTGCGGTACGAAACATGGATATTTTCTTGTACGGATCCTAAAGTCTTGTATGGGCCAGGGCTAGGGTAGTGTGTATATGTGTAACCATATTATTCATATTGAATAAACTCCTTGCAGATTTAGGCACATTGTCGAATCACGTTACATTCTTGTGTTGATTTCTTTATTTTACTTCTCTATTATTGCGTATAAATTCCAACATCACTACTACATGCACCTATGTTCTCTTTTTTTTAACCTTTGAGCACTTAAATCACCAACCCAATCGGCATAGGTATGGGCTACATTTCGAAGATGCTCGTGCTTCCTGAACTTTAGTCCTTTACTAGTTTAAGATACTTTAAAATTCTGAGAACTACTTCGAGATGCTCCTTATTGGAAGAATGTATGAACTGGCTAACAACGCTCAAGACAAAGGAAATATATGATCGTGTATGTGACAAATAAATCAGCTTTCCTACAGGCTTCTGATATTGACCCTAGCATTCCTTTTTAGTATGACTTGTCCAATAATGGATGAACTTGGACACTGCAGATTCTTGGTGATGATAAAAACGTACCAACTATGACAGTGGCGAAGAGATTGATGAGGGTATGGGAATGGCTGAAGGACAATTTAACCATTTTCTAGGAGGGGGCCAGCAATTTACATTTCATTTCGAAGGAGGATTTCCTGGCGGGGGTTTTGGCGGCTTCCATTTCTGACCTAGGGGACGTGTGGAAATATGTTTCATCAATGGTGGAATTTGGATAGAAAGAAAATAAATTCTAGGGAATTGAATTGCCTAGAATTGTTTTCCTGTGAATTGTCAATTAATTGTGTTTGCTTAGTATAATTTTTCACGTGGAAAATATTGAAATTTTGGATCTTTTGGTATTCATTTGACTTTGTTTTAATTCGTATTTTAGGAAATATAATTAGGTTTAATTTAGTTACTTTTATTATATATTTTCCTTCTCAAGATAGAATCTTT